AAACACAGATAATCTCCTGCACTCACTCAGCTGAGCTTGGTTTACAGCTGTGGACCACATCTCTGACACGAGGAAGGAGCAGTTACTGCTAGGTAGGCCACATACCAACCTCATCTAGGGCAGGACTTCCATCCCCACGTGCTCACCTGAACCCTCCTCCATGCCCTAATCCTCCTGCCCATAACAGCTCCCTGGTTCCTACTCCCTATTCTGCATCCTAAACTTACTCAAAGTCCCAGTTAATACAACCTCAATCACTAAAACTGTTGAACATCTTATGAAAGTTTCTGCTCACTCAGGTTCCAGTTCAACATTCACCTCCAGCTTCTAAAAGCCTCGTTTTCAAGACCTTTCAGTGAGAACAGGAGACACTGATCCTAGCAGCCACAGTCAGTACTGACCCAAATCAACTATGGCAAGTGCTTTGCCTCAAAGGTCATCCCTGGGATGTATTTGGAGGACTAGACGGGGGGGGGGGGGGGCACTCCCTGAAGCTTCCTACCAGCCAAGGAGCCTCAAGCTAGCATCATCACTTCCAGCCCACATGCCTCCTGGGGACAGGCCACACAACAGCATCCTAAACACGGTCCTAAACGCAGGCTTCTTGTCATTCCAAACAAGACAATTGTGACTTCTCCTGGACCAATCCTGGCACATACATCTTTACCAAGCCCAGAGTCAAGGCTCCAACTCATAGACTCCTTTAAAATCCACCATGGAGCATGGTGACACATGCCTTTAGTCCTAGCACTCTGGAGGCTGAGACAGGAAGATCTTTATGAGTGTGTGGCCAGACTGGCCTATACAATGAGTTACGAGGCAGAAGCCCAGTCGCCAGAAATGGCACAGTAAAAGTAGAACTGGCTCCCCAAAGTTATCCTCTGACCTCTACACATGTACCATAGCATGCATGTGGCCACACACACAAACACACATATAATAAATAAGCAAACAATCTTGCAATCCCAGCTTTAGGGAAACAGACAGGCAGATCCCTGGGATATACCAGCTGGCCAACCTAGCCTCCATGGCAAGTTCCAAGCCAATGAAAACCCCTATCTCAAAAAGGGCACCTGAAGAACAACATCCAAGCTTGCCCTGTCCTACACATGCACACACGTGCCCACACAGACACACATACACAAAATAATCATGGGGAGTGGGAAAATAGCTCAGATTATTTGCCTGCACGCACAAGGTCCTAGCCTCAAGGCCCCAGCACCCAAAATCTCAGAAGAAAACAAACAAACAAACAAAAACAGGGATACCTACAGTGTCTGTTCAGAAAACTAAAATTTCTTGTTAGTAATAACCTAGGGTAGTCAAATGTTCAGTGGGGGCTTCAGATAAAGACCAACTCCACAGGGCACGATAGCCATGGCAACCCTCTCCACCTTCTTGCTAGCTTGAGCTCCCCACCTCTACCAAACTGTACTCCCCTCCCTCTAGTGGCCTAGAGACAGATAGGACTATAGCACCCACTTTAGAACCACAGGTAAGTTCCCACCAGAAGCCAAGAGCACACTAGATACTGTGGACACAACACATGAAGGTATTTATACCTCAAGCTTTTGCCAAGGGCATAAAGCAGCAGGTGAGCCAGTCGACTGTAATGCAACCTCCTCCACCCTATGAGTGCTACCTCACCCTTAGTACTGAGGGGTTGGGGAAAGAGCCCAGCCTGCTTCCAGGCTCATCTAAGGGAAGGACCTCTAGATTCAAACAGTGGACAGTGCCCAGTTAAGTGTAAGAAGACAGAAGGCTAGATACAAAAGCAGCTTGTCGACTGTCTGGTCCCAACAGGAAGAACATGACCCATCTGGCTTGATGCAGCTCCTGCTCCTGGCACACTGCCCAACCCAAGAACACTGTTCATTGGTCCCTTTCTGAGCTGGGTCTTGACTGTTCAGTAGAAACTGGCCAAGCAAAAAGCAAAGCAGAAGAACCCTAGAGAAAGAAGGACAAAGAGGAAAAAAGTTCAGCCATCAGGTGAGCTCAAAGTCAAGGAGTGTCCTGTGTGCTCCAGACACTGAAATCCTTAGATAGGCCCCAGGCCCTGCTGGCCTCTGTGCATCAGGCTCTCAGGGTGGAGAACTGAGAGGCCAGGACTCTGGGTAGGTCCAAGATGTCATGAGCCACTCCAGGAACACTGAACACAGATTACATAGGCAAACGCTGCAGAAGCACTAAAACCTGACTCAAAGAAGCCAGGACTCCAGCTGAAGACTGAACTGAAGACATCAGCCTTGCCAGAGCCAGCTACAAGAGTTTCAGCATGATCTGTACATGTCTACCTAAAACTACCACACACAGACATAGCTCACTTCTAAACACTTGAGTGCCCCTCTCTTCACTTGAGAAAATGCATCCTGGATTGGGCTCAAATCAAAATCTCAGACAAGCCGGGCAATGGTGGCGCACGCCTTTAATCCCAGCACTTGGGAGGCAGAGGCAGGCGGATCTCTGTGAGTTCGAGACCAGCCTGGTCTACAGAGCTAGTTCCAGGACAAGCTCCAAAGCCACAGAGAAACCCTGTCTCGAAAAACCAAAAAAAAAAAAAAAAAAATCTCAGACAAAAGGACTCAGATAAGTGGTTTTGAGAATGCTGAGGACAGAGTGGGCTAAGGCCACATTTACTGAGCTTCTATGGGGTCCAGCTCTGCAATAAATGCTAATTTTTTTCATAGTTGTGTGTATATGAAGTTATGTGTACGTGTATATGCAGGTGCACATACATTTGTGTGGGCAAACATAAAAAGGTCAGAGGATAACTTCAGCTGTTGCTCTTCGGGCCCTGTGCTGGCTAGTTTTATGTCAACTTAACACAAGCCTATAGGGAATTTTCTTAATTAGTGATTGATGGGGGAGGGCCCAGTCCATTGTGGGTAAGGCCACCTCTGGCCTGGTGGTCCTGGGTTCTATAAAAAAGCAGACTGAGCAAGTCACGATGAGCATGCCAGTAAGTAGTATCCCTTCATGGCCTCTGAATTGGCTCCTGCCTCCAGATTCCTGCCCTGTTGAGTTCCTGTCCTGACTGCCTTCAGTGCTGGGCTACAATGTGGAAGTGTAAGACAGATAAACCCTTTCTTCCCCAACTTGCTTTTGGTCATGATGTTTCCTCACAGCAATAGTGACCCAGACCAGGACAGGCACCACCCTTGTTTATTAAAACTGGGTCTCTCGCTAGTCTGGAACTCACTATATAAGCTAAACTGGCTGGCCAGAGAACCCCACAGACCCACCTGTCTTCACCTACCTAGTACTGGGATGATAAGTATGCACCCACTTTTTTATGTGGATTCTGGGAATCAAGTTCAGGCTCTTATATTTGTGAGTACTTTACTAATTAAGCCACGACCCAAGCCTACATGATGTGCTTTTTAAAACACATTTCTCAAGCGATCATGTAACAGACGTATGAGTGTCCCTCTTGTGCAGACTCTGAGGGAGACCCATGTGGCCCAAAAACCAGCTACTCTTTGCAGGCTGTTGGAAGCCATGTTCTTCCCAGGAAGCTTGTAGTTCAGCTAGCCAGGGAGTCAGTGGGGTCACTCAGTAAACATCAGTATTTGGCCCCTATAGCTTATTTGTTCTGCTGGCCAGAAATTGGAATTACAGGCTGGAGTTAAATATATCGCATGGTTGGCATGGTGGCACAGGCTTTTCATCCCAGTACTTGGAAAGCAGAGGCAGGCAGATCTCTTTGCCTTTGAGGCCAATCTGGTCTACATAGAGCATCCCAGGCCAGCCAGAGCTAGCCACAGAGTGAGAACCTGTGTTCTCTCTCTCTCTCTCTCTCTCTATGTCTGTGTGTGTGTGTCTGTGTGTGTGTATCTGTCTGTCTGTGTGTCTATGTGAGTGTATCTGTGTTTATGCCTGTGTGTGTGCATGTGTACATGCACAGCACACATGTGAAGGTAAGAGGACAGCATCATGTCAATCCTCAGGTGTTTCAGATAGGGTCTCTCGACTGACCTGGAACTTTGCCATATAGACCAGACTCTCTAGCCCCTAAACTTCCAAGGCTCCACCTGGTGCATGTCACCCTGCCAAACTTTTTCTTGGATTCTGGGGATTCAAATTCAAATCTTCATACTTACAAGGCAAGCATTTTACTGACCAAGCCATTTCCCCAGACTTGTTAGTTGCTGTTTGATTTAAAGATCTCCAACGCTAGCTGGGTGTGGTGATGCATGCCTTTTAAACACAGCATGATGGTGGGGGCGGGGGAGACAGAAGCAGACACCTCTGTGAGTTCAAGGCCAGCCTTGTCTATATAGCTAGTTCCAAGATGGCCAGAGCTACATAGACCCTGTATCAATAAGTAAATAGACTTTACTTATTCCCAGCTCTTAGGAGACAGAGACAGGAGAATAAATAAGTCTCCAAAGTTAGATTATCAAAACTCAAATGCTGATAATTCCGTGCCAGGGTTCAAGGTGAAACAAAACGAAGCATCACAGTTTATGAGTAAAAGATTAAAAGAAACAATATTCAGGGCTGTGAGCACATAGGAAAATGTGCTTGTTCTACTTCAGCTCTTCCTGAGTAGGGGTCGCCTGTCTTCAGGTTAAGCCTGGCCTGCTGCTATGCAGACCAGGGTCTGGCAGGGGGTACATGAGCAGCAGCATGCTCACAGCAGCACGGTTCATAGGAATGTGCCACTGAAGGGTGATGAGATGACCCAAACAGAAAAGGAATAAACTATGGCATACTTAGGCTAAAATAATGGGTTATTATAAAATGAAGTAAGATGTTTATCATCTAAGCATATTGTAATTTATTTAACATTGTGATGCTATGGCAAGGCAACCTTGGGAAAGGAAAAGAATGGGGCAGGAAAAAACAAAGATCTGAGGCAAAGCACAGAGAACCCTCTCTCAAATGGACCAGAGTGAACTGCAGAAATTTCCAAAGCCACTGTCCCAACCGCCGCCTGGCTCTAATCACAACAACGTCCCAGGAAGAGAGCCACTGTGAGCTGTTTTCCCTCACCTTACCTTGAAAGTTTTATCCATGGAAGTAGAGAGAAGCATGTGGCTTTTACAAAAGACTGGACACCACTGAATACTGTTGACAGGGCCCCTGTGGCCTCGCAGGTGGAAGAGCACTTTCTTGGGGACCTTAGTCTCTCTGTACTGACTGTTCAAATATGGCTGGATGAACTCAGACACAGTGGGAGCCACACAGAGGGGTGCTGGGGCACACCCTGCAGGGGGTCCTGGAGGCTCTAGATCTTTGCCCCCACCAGCTTCTGGATTCAGTGCCTGCAGCTGCCTCAGTCTCTTGGGAGTATAGGGAACCACACAGTCCTCACCCCTTTTCCTCTGAAAAGAGCTGGCATTTCTAGCAGTGCTTTCAACTTTGCTTTGAGTCTGAGAAGGTGAATGGAGGGCATCCCAAGCAGGTTTTACTGGCTTTAAGCAGGCAGCTGCCAAGGGCACGTGGCTGGCTGGAGCTCGGCTCATCCACAAAGGACGAGGAAGCTCACTGGTGGAGAAGGTGGTATCAGGGTCCTTTGAGGGCCACTGGAGCCTCTGGCTGGGACAAGATCCTGGGTGACTTCTCCAGATCCGAGCCAGTGGCAGACGTTGGTCCCCCGGGTCTTTATAAGGACTGTGCCCTGTGTGTTGTACCCCCTCTTTTGTCATATCCACTGTACCAGATACAAAACCCGTTCCAGAAGGTCTGGTCACATCATAGGCATCATCCATCTGACCTTCAGGGTTCACAGTTCTAGCAGGCTCTGTCTCAGTCTCTGAGTCAGAATCATCATATGCCACCAACGAGGCCATGCGGACACACAAAGGTGACTTCCTAGAACTAAAAAAGGTCAAGAGTTAGCAACTGTGAATGGGAAAACAGTTCTATACTTCAGAGCAGGAATATCACTTTGAAAATCTAAGACTTCAAACTCCACTAACATGAACACACAAAAAAACAAAGGCTGCACTTTCAAAAGAGCTAAAAGAAAAGATTTCAGATACTCCAACATAAAGACATGATTCTGAGGTAGGAGAGATGGCTCTTCCAGAGGATCAAACAGTTCCACAGGTAGCCCCAGTTCCTAAGGACCCAACACCCTGCTCTGCTCGCCACAACTACCCACACTCATGTACATACTCACATACCGACATATATGCAAACACATACACAATTAAAAATAGAAAGCATACCTTTTTTTAAAAAAGGAAAAATTAAAAAATAAGCTTTGGGCCAGCAAGATGACTAAAGTGGGTTAAATGTGCTTGCTGCCAAGCTTAAAGACCTGAGTTTGATTCCTGGAACCTACATTGCAGAAAGAGAAAAATCAACTCATGAAAGTTGTCCTCTGACCTCAACATGTGTGCCTTGATGTGCATGCCATTGCCGAACCTTATAACTAAATTAATGTTAAAAAAGGAAGGAAGGCAAGAAGAAAGGGAGGGAGGAAGGGAGGAAGGAAGGAAGAAAGGAAAGAAATATGGATAGATGTTAGGGAGATGGCACGGGGAGATGGTATGTTCGCCCTAATTTAAACATAACATATTATATTTTTTTAAAAAAAAACCTAAGTAATTTTTAAAAATAAATGGATTTCCAGTCTCCAATAGACATACTTAGAACACACAATTTTTAATGGGAACCTACGTGGGGCTGGGGATGAAGCTTGCTAACAGAATACTTGCTAACTCATGCAAAGTTCTGGGTTTGCCTCTTAGCACTGCAAAGCAGAAGAGGAGAAGAAAGTAAAGAAAAGAAAGAAGACAACAACAATAATCTAGGTATGGTGAGTCCAGCACTCGTGAAGCTGAGGCAGGGGGATTATTATTTCAAGGCTATCCTAGAATATATAGCAAGACCCTGTCTTTAAAAACAATCAAAGGAAAAAATGAGAGAAAACAAGCTTTTGGAGATGCAGAGCAATAGGAAGAGCACCTACCTGGCATGCCAAAGCCCAGGGCTGGATCCTAAGGCACCAGGCTACCTACCCAAATGTGGCAGGAGCAGTTTTGGTCATGGCATCCAAAACTGTGTCTCACCCCAAATGCACAGATTCATAAAGTAATAAATTTCATTTTAAAAATTCTTCCTGGAATTCTGAGCCATCACAAATTGTTATTGGCTAGTTCTCAGTAAGAGATGGTTTGGTATTTTAATTCAGTACTTTAATATCATGAAGAGAACAGCAAGAACAGTTAAGAAAATAAGGGTGCTAAACATCATAGCCAGCAGAGGGCATGGTGGAACAGGGTGCAAGCCTGGGCTGTGGACCAACTTCCCCGATGAAAGAAAACCCAGCTAGCCTCATGTTTGGGGTTTTATACTTATTTGTGCATCTGTGCATTTGTGCATAACTATGGAAGTGTGCAAACCTGTGCTTCTGCACACGAGAAGGCCAGAACAAGGCATCCGTGTCTCCTCTATTGCTTTCCATCTATTCTTCTGAGGCATAGTCCTCCTGTCTCTGACCTCTTAGAGGTAGGGTTACAGGCAAGTGTGTAATGCCTAGTTTGTTAACATGGGTGCTGGGATCCAAACTTTGGTCCTCATGATTTCAAAGTAAATGCTCTTAACAGCTGAGCCTCTCTAACCCCAAACTGTTAACACTCACTTTCACTACATAAGCCAGGCTGGTCTTAGTCTCATAATCCTCCTGCCTCAGCCTTCTGAGTGATGGAATAACAGGCATACATCACAATGTCAGGTCATACACTAGGTTTCAATATCCCACTCAAACCCTTCCACATCTGTCCCTCTAATGGCACTATTTATCCAAGAACTCCACTGCCACACAAGTCTGTTCATCGGTTAATTCCTGTGGTTATTGTTCCCACCAGTAGCTGAATCCAGGTCAGTAGCAATGGCCACATTTAAAGTCGTCTTCTAAAAAGGACTTCTAAAAGCAGTCACCCAGTCCCCAACTGAACCAAGAACACACTGGGGACTAATTACACACAGATAAAACCATGCTCTGCAAATAATTTAATTTCTACATACTCAGCAAGGATCTGAGGCCAAGCTCCTTGTCCCTACCTGTCAAATGAAACCCATCAGATTCCCACCACCAGACTAAATAGATCTCAGTCACAAGCCTGGATTTCGAGCCACACAGTTATCTGCAGGGTTGACTCACAGAGAGGCATACGGGAGATCAGAGGACAGCATAGCCCATCAGCTCCACAGGCATGGAAAATGTCTGAATGGCAAGAGGATGGACTCCCAAGGCCCTCTCACCACAGGTAGATCTCACTCACTCATTCAACAGCTGCAACAATAGGCAAACCAGTACATGACCTTCACTAAGCACACCCACAAGCCAGCGGGAGAGAGACAAGCACATCCCCCACTCCATGCGTGAGCCAGAAGCCATGGTATGTGAACTGAAAAGGAGAAACGGAAGAGAAGAGCAGAGCAGCTGGGCCCAGGACTGCATGTTCTTATGGAGCCTAGATGAACCTCAGAGAGAGTACACCTGTGCAGTGACACTCTGGAGAAGCTGAGAACCAGGGATCACAGTACTTGAGTCTAACAGAACCAATAACGATCTAGAGGAGTCAAGGGTGGGTCAAGAAAACAAGCGTGAAGGGAGAGGGCTGAAAGCTGAGGGAAATGCACACACAGTTTAGAAGGTGGTGGCTGCCATTTTGTACCCAAGTTCAAAGGATGTCATGGGAAAGGGGGATGTGTTGAAAACCAAGAGGAAGAGGCTAAATGCGGGGGGGGGGGGGGGGGGGGGGGGGGGGGGGGGGGGGGGATGAGGACGGAAAAAAAATTTTTAAAGCTAAAGGGAGCACAGACATGTGGGGCAGGGTGTCCTGTGTGTTTCGTTCACTGTCCAAGAACCCTCGACCTAGATGGATTTGTAGACTGAAGGCCGGTGGGCCAGGGTGCTGAAGAAGTCAAAGACAGGCGGGATTTTCCTGCTCAACAAGCACTTCCTTGTTACCTACTCTGTGTTTAGCTACGTTGCATCTGATGTGGGCGGAAATTAAGCTCGGATCTTGCCCCAGTGGCCACAGATCCAGAGGGGAAACAAAAAGATACCACCAGACACGGGTTTTGAAGGATGAAGAGAAGTTAGCCAAGCTATCAACAGTAATGGGTAGAGTTCAGAGCACCCTAGAAAGAAATGGGAAGAAAAGAAAGGCGTGCGGCACTCTGAACCTGGCACTATGAGGCGGGAAGCACGCGGCCACCAGGTCCCGGCCCCCTCCCGCCCGGGCCCGCGGCTCACCACACACACGGAAGCACTCGGTCCACCTCTACGGCGGTCCGGCCTGCACTCGGGCCGCCCAGTCGCGTTCCACCACGACGCCAGGGACCTCAGCCAATCAGAGACGGGTCCTGCCCCGCCCCTGGATGGACAGCCAATGGTGGCATGCCAGGACCGGAAGTTGCTCCGGCCGGATGGGGTTTCCACGGACGCCCTGGATGTACCGGTGGCTGAACCAGCGGTGCTGACTGGTGGGTCCCAATAGGGGCCGGTAAGTGAGAAGAGGGCAGCCGCCGCTTTGGGGGTGAGGGAGGAACGTCGAGGTGGCGCCGGGGTCTCGGGCTACCTACCGCCCGAGCACTGAACCCTGAGGACCCAGCTCCGAACCTGGCACACTGTTCTCTGGGCACCGGCACCGCGAGGGGCGGGGAGTCTGCGGCGGCGCCGCCCACCACGGGTGCAAGCTGTCATCGTTTTCCACCGCCTGGGGCTTTACCCTGTAGGGTCGCCATCAGTCCCCTCCACAAAGTATTAGGAAGGTTCCTGGTACGCATTTCACAGACCAGGAACCCAAGGGAGAAGCAGAGAAGTAACACTACTTGCCCACGGTTTGAAAGCAATCTTATGCTCAACATCAAAAGCCTGCTCTCTCTGACCTATCTTTCTTTCCTATCTTTCCGCTGCAGCGCACCACTTCAGAATAGGACTGCCTCAGAAGGTACAGGCTGACCTGCCCTCCCCATGATCTCTACGGTACACACAATAACAATGATGCTGTAGGCGTGGGGGGGGGAGCGGGGAGAAAGAGGGGTGGAGAGGTCATATGGCGGTCAACTTGAAGACGGGACAGCTGATGCAATGGCAAGTAACTCGGGGTTATTGAGAGTTTGATTGGTCCCCACTTCCTCCTTCCCCAGCCCAACCAGCCACTGGCTGGACTTGCACATTAAGAAAGGTGATCGAATGGCTAAAATGTTCTGAGAACCAGAGTGATTTCTGAGAAACCCCTAAGTAAGTGAAACTGAAAGGGTGGGGCAAGCAGGAAAGAAAGACAATAGACCCTTCCAAAAACAGAAACTGAAAGGAAAGAGAGGGAGAGTATTAAAGCCCTCCACCCTGCCTGCTAGTTCTCATCTGCTCCGCTGTCCCTTGTGTCCAGGGGCCACTGACTCCACAGCCAGGGTATGTATTACCATTTTGGCTAGGCTTGGAGCTTCTTTTCTCTTCTAATGGGGTTTTGTTTTGTTTTTCCACCTGCCTTATATGAAAGCGCTGAAGACTTGAGAAGGGCCCGTGTCAGGATTGATTGGGATGTTGCGTGTTTATTTCAGGTGACTCCCTGTTTTTGAGGAATTGATGCAGTGGGTACCCAGTGGCCTGTTTGCAGTCAACAACTTCCGAGCTTTTGTCTGATTTGGCCTTCTTCAGTGGTCAGTGTCGGAATACATTGGCAGTCTCATTGTGGCAGGCCTTTGTAAATTAGGGTCTTTTTCTTTTAAAGTAGTATTCATGGTGCTAGGCATGTATTTCGGTTGTTAGGGGGCTGCTTGGCATGTTCCTGGCTCTGGGATCTATCCCTAGTGCCTTTGTATGGGGAAGTAACCCTTCATTGACTAGACCATCATCTACCCCAAGTTTAAGAGTGTAAAAAACTGCTTGCTCTAAAGAGTCTGCTGGGATCGTGTCAGTCGGAAGCTATTGTTACCTACTGTTTGAGGCCACAGTCCTAAGCTATCTAGAAACGTTCATAGGCTATCCCCTTTTACAAGCTGCCCCTAAAATCTTGCTGCCCTCTTCCCCCAGGCTGCAGATTCTGTGGATCCTACCTGTGTGGGTTTTGCGACTGCCCAAGTTCTTCTCATTCTGTATGCTTATACTATATTGTGCCCACTTTCTTTAAGAGCCCACAGCATTCATGCAGGACAATGACATCTTTTCAAATGAGCAGTAGATTTAAAAGGGGGAAGTCGGGGTGGAGGAGCCTTTGTGGGTTTCTCATCAAAGGCTTGTTGAGGTTCCTCTGGATTGGGCAGTTGGACTTTTTACAATCCCGGTACTTTTTTTTACAGGGGATCACTTCCTGATTGTAATGCCTTTTCTTTCTTCCATATTGGGTTAGTAGTTAGATAAAAGAGCATATCCTTAAGAGAGACACAACTTCTCATCTGCAGTTGATATGGTAAGCCCTAGAAGCAGTGATCATTAGCCTTTTGGGGTATCTCGACTCCTTCATAAAGTCATTGAACCTGTGTTCAACTTCATAAAGTGTTGAACACTGCTTAAACCTGTGTACATCAATTAATATGCAAATGTTGATATAATTCAAGGTTCGAGAACTCCAGGCTAAAAAGTTAAGCTTGATTCTAAAAGTTGATAAAAATAGCAATAAGGGATGGCAAGAGCTCTTCACACAATACACAGGTGAGCATGTAACTGTGTGAAGTAAGGAAAAGGGCAGCTGTTTCCTTTGTCCTAGAGCAGTCACTCAAGAAATTGCCTCTTGATCTCTCCCTCACTCTTTCCCGCATGTACTTACACACAAGATTTAAAAGTGACCATGCATGAGCAAATGCCTGTGGTCAGGGGAGCAGAGATCTTACCTGTTGTTCCCTCCGTCAGATTTAATTTATGTGCCTCTTCCAGGTCAGAATTCTAATATTTAGGTGTTCCCATACAGCGTGGAGCCTGAATGCAGGTCTAGTTCCCCTAACTAATTGCACTAGTGGGAGGAGGCTGGCGGTCCCAGGCTCACTCACTCGTTCTCTTTTTTCTAGGGCTTGAATGGAGTTGTGACTGTAGTCTTTGCAGAGCCCCTCATTTTGTGGAGGAGCAGGCTAAGCAGAGAGAAGTCCAGGGGTAACCATGACAGGGCAGATTTTACAGTGGGCAAAGAAGCCAAACTACAAGCCTAAGACCTGGAGGAGACCCCAGGTGGTCTGCCTGCCTCTCCCCAGAGCTCAGAAGACAGGGCTCAGTGCCAGAACACTAAACTAGTGTTAGTTTCTGACTAACTCAGCCATCAACGAGAACGAACACTGATGTCTATGTTTGCTGGTTTTGGAGGATTTGGGGGATGGGTTGCAACAGGGTCTTATTTATATAACCCAGGCTAGTCTAAAATTTATCACAGTCCCCTACTCAGCTAGAATTGGAGGTATATACTCCCATGCCCAACTAGAAGCTACACTTAACAAAGATGATGTAAAAGAAGAGTCTAAAGGAAAAGATTGAACTTACCCGTTTTGGAGAGCAATTCATAGCAGATACTAGAAATACATGATCATGAAACTGGTGCACACCCTCACTGTACTGAAGATTCAGCAACTCAACAGCAGAGGAAGTGGTATAATAAAGGTAGAGTGAGAGAATGTTCCAGGGACATGGGGTGAGAACAGCCCAAGGCTTCAGGAGTTGTTGGGAAAGGCTATGAAAAACTGAGGTTGAGTCTCAAAGATAGCAGAGGCCAAACTAGGGAGGAAGAGACATGGGGGGGGGGGGCAGGGGGAGCAGTGGGGACTCAGGGCCTATGACTGGGATGGGCTCTGGATTTGAACCTCAGGCAGATTCTTGTGGCTTCCCTAAGCTAACAGGATTGCAGCTTGCTCTTCCAGTACATTGGGAAATTGCAAATGGGATATCACTTGACCCTTTGTGTCTAGAAGTCATTTTTATTGCATTCATTATTATCTGACCCAAGCAAATATACCCAGAGAAAACCAGGGTCTGGGAGTTTCTCCTTACTCCCTGGCTTCTACATGCCTCCTCCCTGGGCTACCAGACCTTGCTATCCAAGTCAGTCTCTGACCAAACTTCCCTTAGGAATCAGGTGATATGATTCTCAATGGTCCTTGTCCTATCATGGCTTTGGTATTATGAGTTGATGAACTTGTATGAAGATAACAAGTAGACACATACAAACATCTCCACTGTAATCTGACTCTGAGAGGTGAGTAGGTGGAGGGCAGTGGCTGAGACGACCCTAGCTTGTCCCAGACATGTCCCTTGTGTAGCTGTTTCCTCCAGATGAAATCTTCATCCTGCAGAGAAGCTTGTTGTAACACTGGATGTTGACAGGGTGGTGAAACAACAGTGTGTTCTAAGAGGGGGAAAGGTCCTGTCCTGCAGTTTAAGGTTAAGGGAAGCACAGTAAACAACTTAATAGCTTCAGGAAATCCCTGAGGAACCAGATTCCCTAGGTCCCTCCCCTCCCTCAAGCATTCAAGTGAGGACTGCTGAGAGGCTCTGGGAGGAGCTCTGGCCTAGAAGAGGCTCTGAGCACCAGGGCTGCCTGCTGGCTGTACAGAGCACTCCAAGTGACTGGTTTCCTGGAGCCATCCCCCATGCTGCACTGGGTGGGTCTTGGTGATATAGCTGTAGTTGAGTCATCCACCCAGGGAAACTCACTGGTTCACCACTTTGGTAGTGTCCTTACTCAGGTCCCTTCCCAGAGATGAGGAGACATTTGTTTGTGTGTCCTCAATAATGTTGTCACACAGGGCACTCCTCAATAGTCATGAACTTCTGTATCCATGAGCTGGGAGGACAGATCTGTCACAAGATTCTGGTGAGGTTCAGGTGACTTGTGCATAGAAGAACTTAAACCAGAGTATCATGACAATCAGGGCACTTGGAGTTAGTGGTCCAGCACAGCCTGTGGCTCCTCTAAGGTTAAGTAAGCCAGGTAAACCTGAGTTGGGAGGATCTCCCAAACCCAGGAATAACAAGACCAGAAGTCAGTTATATCTTGCTTACAATTTACAGTGTGTTCCTGCATCGGGTTTTTTTTTTTTTTACTTTAATTTCTATAAAAGGCCTATCGATAAGTTAAAAGTTCATAGAGTTATCATTTTATAGATAAGAAAGTGACTATCTTTCTTATCTATAGAAACCCAAAAGGGGCTCCAGATGGCCCAATCTCCACCCTTTCCAGTGTCAATAAAAGTAATGACTGCTAGCAAGATGTGGCAGGCACGCCTTTCCAGCCTTCAGTAAGGCAGCTGGGATGGCTGGGGTCAGGATCCTTGCTGGTCTAGAGCTCTTGTCCTCACCTGGACCTTGCTGTGAGAAAACAGCAGCAGGTCCACCAAAAGCCTTGTGGAACATTACTTTGTTTATGTCTATAGAGGCCTGCGAGTTTGTTCTCA